TATTTGTCTATTTGTTTTCCTGAGAAACTATTTTGTAGATAATAATATGTAAAATGATAACCATTGATAATTTCCTACCATTTTGTCTGTAATTTGCTAAGTCCCCCCCTATTATTATGTTATCCTTCTTTTATTCTTTAAAATAAAAAAAAATTAAAAAGTAAAAAATAAAATAAAATAAAATAAAATAAAGTGATACCGGGTTTCAGAACAAAATTATGGGAATTAACAGTGGTTGTTATATGTTGTTATCTTCAACAAAGTTGCTCAGATTAGCAGACATAAGAATGCAAGATTAATCAAACCATAAAGAGAATAAAAAATAAAAACAAAAAAAGCATTAGAAACGATAGTTTCACTAGACAAAATGGTAGAATTCGCCAATGGTTATTACATTGCATACAGTTGCCTTCAAATTAGTTGTTCAGATTACCAGATATGAGCATGCAAAATCAGTTGACAAAATTTTAAAAATTCAGCATTAACTGTTCCTTTCAATAAACCATTAGACATCAGCAGTATAGCTATCCCAGCCATTTACATACACACATACATACATATATTTTCCCTTCCTTCTTTCTTTCTCTTTCCCTCATCCCAGTTGTTCCTTCCTTTGAGCAATTTCTTTCCCTTTATAATATCTATTGTACACTTTGGGTTTTATTTACTCTTTCAGGTTCTTACACTATGAAGACTATATGATATTTATACCTGTGGGTCTGATTTATTTCACTTATGAGTATGGTCTCTAGTTTCATCCATTTACCTATAAAAGCCTTGAGTTTATCTTTTTTATAGCTGAGTAACACTCCATTGTATAAAAATACCCCATCTTTTTTATCCATTCCTCAGTTTATGGGCATTTGGGTTGTTTCCAAGATTCAGCTATGACAAATTGTGCTGCTATAATCATAGGTGCACATATATTGCTGTGGTATGTTTTTAATTCATCTGGGAAAATACTCAGAAGGGGAATAGCTGGGTTAAGTGGCACCTCTAATCCTAGTTTTGTGAGGAATCGCCAAACTGATTTCCATGATGGTTTCACCAGTCTACATTCCCACCAGTAGAGGAGAAGGTTTCCTTTTTCCTCACAGCCTCTCCAGCATTTGTTTTTGGTTGATTTCTTAATAATAGTCATTCTTTCTGGGGTGAGATGGAATCTGTGTTGTTTTAATCTGCATTTCTCGAAGACCAACGATGCTCAACGTTTTTTCATATATTTATTCACCATTAGTATTTCTCCATCTGAGAAGTATGCATTCATCTCAAATGCCACTTTTTAATTGGGTCTTTGAATTTTGGGGGCCTGATTTTTTTTAATTCTTTACATATTCTACATAGAAGAGAGCCAGTTGAGAGCCAGTTGGCTAAAATTTTGTACCAATTCGTGGGTTTTCTTTTTAGTTTGTTAGTGGTTTCTTTGGATGTGCAAAAATTTTTCAGTAAGATGAGATCCCAGTTGTTGATTCTTTGAAGTATTTCTCATACAGTTTGATTTTAAGTATTTCTTGTATTTCAAATACTTCAAAGTATTTCTCATGCAGTTTGAAGTATTTCTCATGCAGTTTGATTTTTGAAGTATTTCTTATATCTCAAATACTTTGAAGTATTTCTCATGCAGTTTGAAGTATTTTTCATGCAGTTTAATTTTCATGAACTCTCTCCCTACCTCCATGTCTTCAAGATTTTTACCTACTTTCTCTTCCAGATTTAGTGCTTCTGTATTAGTGTTTTAGATCTTTGATCCATTTTGACTTTAGTTTAGTGCATGATGATAGACACTAAATCTTGTATTCTTCAAAATCATTTTTTCCAAGGAGAACAAATACAACTTTCAACGGTCATAAATAGTTTTCAGAATTTGGTAGGTATAAAATATAAAGTTTGTTTACATGAAAGAGCACAGGAGTGAAAAATTAGCAAGCTAATCAAACACCAGCAAGGCCAAATACATGTTCAAAACTTCACAAATTAATAATTTTTTATTACCTAAACTAAACCAAACCAACAAAGTAGAACCCCTAAAAAATGTTGATGGCTCGATTATATCCATTTTATTCTCTAAAGGGAAATAATTAAACTGTCAACATTTCTATGAATTTCTCTACATAAGTACTCTTCTAAATTCTGATGAAAACTGGTCAATAGCTAATTGTAAAGCAAGGTCAAATGAGCAAAGAAGCTCTTCTCCAAACACAAACCAATATACTTTCAAATGCTACGACAGGCAAAGAGACAGGGTTATCTGTTATCATCCATGTCTGTTAGAAGTAGCAATGTACTGCTGACTCTGAGAATTTTCGGTAAGTATTTAGTTTTTAATTCAAGAATATAAAAGCACTAGTGAATAAGCTTTCATTCCACAATGAACTAATGTAAAATCTGGGGCTAATTTGGGTTTCTGAAAGATTCTATAGATTTCTCTACCCAAGGTATGGGGACTTTATCATGAACACGATTTTAACTTCTGGTTTTGCCACCATGAAATTCAGAATGAAAACAGGCAACCTCATCGGCACAATCATGTAAGAACTCATATATCTGCACATACATTTTAGTTTTCCCCAAATGTCAACTTCTAGAAGTTACTACATGTACTTTTGCTGATTCTGATTTTTACCTTTTAATTTATAACATCACTCGATTTCACTTATTTCTAATTAGGTTCAAGTTTTTGTGGAAGAACCAAGATATAATACACATTTAAAGATCTGACAATAGTTATCCTGCTTCACTCTGGTACTATACTTATAAAATGAAAGTGTTCACAAGTAGTAAAGGATAGAAAATGTCCTGTTCAAGTACTTACCAGGAGCAATAGTTTCTAATGTGTCAGAACTGACTTTGCGAGTACTTGCACAGTGATGAAGGGTGGAACCGGAAAACACCAAGTAAAAAACTACATCATCTTCAACTCTGTCCTCTTCAGCAAGCAGTACAGTAAGAACACAATCACCCTAGGAAAGGAAAAGATACAGCAAGTTTGCATCAGTAAGGTTCCTCTTAGAAAACTATCTAGAAAATATCATATTTAAGGAAAAAACAAACACCATCTAAACAAACCGTGCACCTGTTCTAGTATGTTTATATAAACACTGACTGAGTACTTAATGTGCTAGCCAACATTTTAGATGCTAAGATCTCTTGTTCCCTTTCAGCTTTTTTTTCTGGAGACAGGGTCTTCCTGTGTAGTTCACGCTGGCCTTGGACTTACTACTTAACTTAGCCCAGGCTAGCCTCAAATTCAGTGATCCTCCTTCGTGAGTGCTGGGATTACCAGCCTATGCCACCATGCCCAGCTCAGCTCACATTTTAGTGAAGGTGATTAGATAAAACAAGTAAACTAACAGTGTATTTACTTAACAAACTAGTGTGGTGGTGATGGGGTTTCAAAGGCAGAGAGGATGGAGGGAGTACACTACATAATTAGACCCTCACAGTCAGAATACTTTTAACTAGTATTCCAGTTGTGGCAAAAATTCTCTAAATTCCACATTCTATGAATCGCTACAATTGATCCACCCTCCAAAAAAGATGGAGGCCCTCAAGTGACCTGTACGGGAAGCACGAAAGGACATAGCATGGGCTCTAAATAATGCGCACTTAAGTCCCACCTAAGAGACTTCCCTTTGATCCGGTTAACTTCACTTTCCTGGACTATACACTTAGAGACAACTCTTCCCTTCTTACAAGTAATACATGAAATTTCTTGAACAAACTCAGTGCTCATCTGAATCTATTAGGATGAGGGGGGTCACTTTTTAAACATTTGTGTCCTCTAACCATCTGACATCCTTGCTTTTCTTTTATCCACTCCTCCACTAAGGCTCCGTAATCAAATAAAAATATACCAGTAATACTGCCCATGCCTCTGTAAGTATTTAAAAGATATTTTTGTCCTTTTGCTACAAATATTCTTCTGGCAGACTTTATCCTTTTTTTATTGAGGGCAATGTTACATATATTCTAAGAAGTAGTTCAAATTACCGTTTTTCTACTTGTAAACATTATATAATTTGTGTTATATCCATAAACTGACAAAGATTTAAAGCATAAATGTTTAAGGCACTGAGATTTAATATTATTAAACTTTAATGATGATCTATGGGGAAAAAAACCTGGCCATTTCAACATCAAAAATTAGAGGAAAGAATTTTTATTACTTGTAACTTTTTTTTCCTATCTAGTTTAGCAACAATAAAGTCTGTGAGAAAACTATGCCACCCTGTGGCCACATCTTAAACTCAGAAGCACAATGAAGCAAAAAGCCGTTTTTTACTAAACACTGAAAAGCAAGGATCAAGTCTATTAACAGATGCTTCACTAGATCAATTCTGGAAACAGAGTTCAAAGTATTAACTAGAGCCCTGAGTGTCTCTTATTTTACTCCAGTGTCTTGTGCAGAACCCCTACATATGGCAGATGCTCAAATCTGCAATATGTGAGAAGTCAGAACTAATCCCAAATAAGCTATAATTTAATTGCCTTGAAGCTAGTTATTAACATGACTACTGTACTAGGGTGTTCCAAAGCACCCTAACACAAGGAATACCACGTCAATAAAACAGAATTAAGACAAAATTCAGTCACTACTCAGAATTATACTTCTGTCTTGTGTACAGATCCCTCTCTTGGAAACAGTTTTGAAAACCTTAAGCTGATAAAATGTATAGTATCTTTTAGCATAATGTAACCCGTTAAAATGGCTGCAGCACATATAAGAGTCTATTTCTCAGGGTACTGCAGAAGCCTTATATTCTGAATAAAGTGCAACTGAAAGCTCAAAAATTTCATCCTTTTCTGAACAACATGGAAACTGTGACCCTTAGGACTATGTCCAGTCTCCTGGTTGTTCTGTGGACTCACAAGCTGAGAAAAGTTTTTTCATATCGAAATGATTTTTTAAAAACAGATCTTTAATGGGAAAATTACATAAAATTCACATTTCAAGGTCCATAAATAAAAGCTTTATTGGAACGCAGTCAAGACCTTTCATTTCCACTTAATTTTTAACCACAATTTTTCATTTGGATTTCTAACACGGAATTGTGAGAATACCTTTTCTTTTGTAAGATCAAGATTTTCTTTCCACAAGAGACCCAACATTTTGCTTGGGGGCTCTCTGTGACATTAGTGAGGTCTGGAGCTTTCCTTTTACTAAGGACAGAGGACACGGCTAACACAGGCAGTTGAAAACCTTTTTTCAAAGCTTCTCATATCAAGCACTTTTCCACTTCCAGGGCAAAGGTTTAAATTGTTTTCGTACCATTAATAGCTTTTTTTTTTTTTTAATGTTAAGTCACACAATTTCATGTCCACAATATTAAACAGAAGGGAACAAGGATGCTTCATTCTCTTCAAGGTCCCTTGAACTTTAAATTCCAAAGGCACTTGGAATTAAAGCACCTGGTTTCCTTGAAGGAGCACTGTCTGCACTCTGATACAGTCACTGAGAACAAATAACTGCGTTTCAGCCACGTGATTCCTATTTTACTGAAGTAGTACCGGGCACCTGGTATTACCTAAGATGGCCTTGAAAGATTAAGCAAGTGGAATGGATAAAACTAAAAACAGACCTAAGAACTTTTTATTAAAGTGGCTGCTTTAATCGTACCCACCTCAAAGGACACCTTGGTAAATAATTCTACTTTTCAAGGAAAGGACCAGCCCACAAAATACATAAAAATCAATTTGGTCACAGTTAACAAGTCTGTCATATTACCAACAACAACAGATGAACTTATTAACAAGGGAAGTTTTTAAAACATTCTTTATTATAATTTTAATTTGAGGCAACCCCAGGAAGAGAAGACATGTATGTCTCTACTTCTCTAATTTCAGCAAACAGTACTATTCTTACAAAGTATTTTCCAAGTTTCTTCACTAATGAGAAATGTCTCCTTGAATCTGAATTTTTGCAGGGTCCGATAGTGAGTTTTGCTGGTAGATGATGCAAAAACTAATGAAAATGACAATTTTATATTATGCGTTATTTTGTAGCAACTAATCTCCAAAATATAAATACACTGTGATTCCAAAATATCATCGGATCGATCACTTACTTGCCTATGAAAACAGATCGTTATAAAAGGGCGATGGGCTGGGCATGACAGTGCATGCCTATAATCCCAGAAGGGTGGCTGAGGATCACGGGAAGGCAAATGTATGCTATGGGAGGCCCAAAGAAGTCACCACTTATTCAAAGATGGAGTTCTTGCTATAAGAGAAAACCCTCACCAAACATGAAGCATCTCAGGTAACAGTATTGCTGTAGTTCTGCTCACAGCAGCTCACTATTAGCACATTTAAGTCATACTGTTTTCTAACTTTTTAAAACTTGGCCGGTAACTTTTGAGCACATAATGTTGGTTAAGACTATAGTCTCTCACATAAGACTGCCTTGATTTGAAACCAGGTGATACATTATTTTCTATCTGTTCAGTATAAAGTATGTTATTTAAGTTCTCTGTGCCATAAGGGAAGATTGCAATCATACTGTATTTACCTCATAAGGTTACTGCAAGAATTAATTGATTGATAAAAGAAAAGCACCTAGGGCAGTGTATGGCACACAACAGTTTTCAATAAAAGATAGCTATTTATAGATTGAGCGTTCCTAATCCAAAAATTCAACATGCTCCAAAATCTGAAACCTTTTGAGCATCATGATAGTGCTCAAAAAGTTTCAAACGCTGGAGTCTCTGGGTTAGGGATGCTTAACCACTGAAGTCTATGCAAATATGCCAAAATTTAAAAAACTTAAATTCTGAAAAACTTCTGATTCCAAGCATTTGTTAAAGGATACTTAATTAGTTTTCTGTAACGCAATGTAAACTCCATGAAAGCACATTTTATTCACTGGGATGCCCTCTTTGTGTAAAATATAATAAGCAGCAGGTGTCCTATATACTTTTTTTTTGAAAAAGAAACACTAAAAAAACATGGCTATTCCTAGATGGCAGGAGGTAAAAGATAGCTGCAATGTGCTTTTTTCTTTTCTTTATTTTCCAATTTTTAAAAATAAGGAATTATCTTTAAAAGAAGATAAACATTTTAAAAATAGTTTGCTTGTTTATAAACACTTTACCAAAGGGGCAAACAAAACTGTGATGGATACCACCTGGATAAAGTGATCAGTGTAATCACCAAAAATTAGACAAATTAACATCACATTTCTCCTGCCAGCATGCAGTGAAGACACATCATCACTTATGTTTTATTTTTAACAAAAGTTCCAAAATCTTAACCTAGTGAAAATCACCAGATAACCCAAACCAAGAGGCATTCCTATATAAAAGGTAGCTAGTACTCTTCAAAAATGTCACTAATGAAAATTAAAGACAGAGGCACTGTTGCACATTAAAGAAGACCAAAAAGGCATTCCAAATAAATACAGTAAATGATCCTTAAATGAATTCAAAACTAGAAAAGAAAACTATTAAAAACATTATCGAGACAATGAGAATATGAAGGAGCTTACATACATTATTAATCAATGTTAAAATTCCTGGTTTTGGTAATTGTGCCACCTTTATATGAGAGAATATCCTTGTTCTTAGGAAATGTACAAACATCTGGGGCAAGAGCACAAACTCTACAACTTTCAGATAACAATAGTAAAAATGATTTCACAAATATGACAAAATGTTAACAGCAGATCTGAATTCAAAGTATAGGGGATTTCTTTACAACTTTTCTATAAACTTGAAATTATTTCTAAGTAAAAGGTTTCCATGAAACATCTGCTCAAATAACATAGTACAAACAAATATTCAACGTTAAAAGATTCAAAACTAATTTAAATTTCTGGGGCTATTTTTTAAGGCTCCAGAATTATGAAAAGGTTCCAGAATTATAAAATTATAACAAAAACTATCTTCTATTCAAAAAATTTAAAGGCATCTTATGGAGCTTTACAAATCAATATCCCAGTTTACCAACATGACAGGATTTAAAC